AAAAGTCTTCCTGGATGACTCAGTGCTGCAACTTCTTCCAACACAGTCTCTCCTCTGTCTCCATCATCTTTACAGGATACAGAAAACCGCAAAGCAGCAGAATCAGGTTGTGTCCTCTCATTTTGATTCTGTACTTTGTGGGTTAAGGGAGCATCATGTGCAGAGATTTTGGTCCATTTGATTGACTTGTGTAACGTTAAGATAATTGAACACTGAGGAATGAAATTCTAAAAGCCAGTGAGCCTTTTAATCAATACTGCAGTGGTTTAAAAAGATTAATGGACCACATAAAATAACTGAATAATTCAATTTTTTGACATTTTTTTGCTGAAAGGAGGGAAGGATATGAATACACAGATGTTCTAAAAGTTTTGGGGTTTTCCTTAGTTTTAATTTGTTTTGATGTTTCATTTCCTGTGTCTGTCACACTGAACCAGATACTGGACCCTACCGCAGAGACCCCAGGAAGACAACAGGCAAAGTTCAGCTCCTTTAATCAGACAGGGTCGGTGATCAGAAAACCCAAACAGGCAGGCAGAGGTATCCAAAACGAGAAGCAAAAGTGGAAGTACAATAAACAGGCCATTTTCAAAATTTAAAACAGAGCCATTTAAATAAATTCACCCCCAGTACAGTTTGTGTTAGTGATAACAATAACTAATCAGACCTATTTAGTTTTGTACCAGGATGTAAACATGTTTATTTATGCTGTAAAAACGCCTTAGCAAAGCGAATGATGTCATAGTCAGAGATGTTGAGGGAATCGGTTGAAGCTTGACTTCACACAAGATGGACTCGAGAGACTTAAGTTGAGGTTGTTCATATATAATAATAAAATGACATTAACAGAACACTTGTTGGCTGTATTTAGAGTAATGTCTTCTTACATAAAAGTTGAACAGCTGTATCGAATAAAGTGGGCGGTGAGTGTATATGGAACGTGGCTAGTGCTCATTTCATCATACCTCCATGTACTGCACACTCTACTGTGTGTGTGTGTGCGTGCGTGTGTGTGTGTGTATATGTGTGTCTGTCTTTGTGCAAGATTTTCATGACTAAAGAGATGGGATTCTCTCTGTTGGATAATCCTGTTTTGAAGCTGAACAACATTATGATTCATTCTGTTTCCAACCTAAAGCTCTTTACTCCAAACGTACCCTGCAGCCTCATTAGTGATTTAGTTCAGAGGACAGCCTGTTTTAATTTAATGCTCGCTCTCTTTAAGGGTTCATTTGTCGCCTGGATTACATTTGCTAAATAAAAAATGACGATAGCAGCTCAGAACTCAGCGCTCATTTGTGACAACATTTCATGTATCAGTCGTTTCGGCTCATTTCTAGTGAAAAACAAACATGTTAAGGTGGATAAAGAATTTAGTCAGGGTAGTCGACGGTTTAGAGCAAAGCTGTTAAACAGCAAGTTAAACACGGCTACACAGTAAATGCAAGCACAGGTTCCAGCTGCACCACACAGTTGATTTTCTTAACAAGAGCTCACAGAAAATTGATAAAAAATGGAAGCTTTGCAAATACATTTGCATATATCTACATGTGAGAAAAGATTACAAAAAGCTCTGAAGACCGTGTTTTATGCTAATCTGTGTTCCAATCAGATGTGACGTACAACGACATCTCCAGCTTTGTCCATATAGTGTAAAAGACAGTCAAACATTTTAAAGGTTAAGAATAAAGACGTATTCTTTTTCAAGCAGTAATACACTTCGAACTCTCTCAGGCACCAAGTTAACATTTTGAGATTTGTGTTTTTTCTGCAGTGCAGCAACAGATGCGATAAAATCCAAACTTGAAGGAACATTTTCGATAAGGAGACAAAGGCATGGGAAAGTTTCAGCCAAATGTCATCCTCCTTTTGTGAGAATGTATCTGATTGTGGGTACATGGATCATCTCTCATTTCCCTTTATGTCACTCAATTGTCTCTGTGTGCTGAAGCATAAATGCCAAGAGATTTTCTCATTTTAAAAAAAGGACAAATAGTTCAAGAATGTGAGGGGAATCAGGGGGCACGATGCTGAAAAAACAGTGACCTTCAACACTTTTTTTTTTTAATAAAGTTAACATTCATGTTTGAATTTGTCTTTTAGCTAACATCCCAGGGTCGCCACCAACCTGAAACAGTTTACAGCCCTTTATACCACAGTTAACAAAAGCTGAAGACCAAGGTCGGTGGATCCTGCGTCGCCTCGTCTTCTTCAGCCCTTTTCCACCAAGTGGTCCGGTTTAGTTGTGTTCGGTACGGTACGGTTATTGTAGTTTCCACTGTCAAAAGTCAGGAATGGTACCAAAGTAACTGATCTGTACCGTCCTACTTTTTTTGGCACTCTTCTGTTGGGCTGCCAAGCGTATCATTCCGACCCTAAAGATGGAGCCAGACACACTGCAGTCCGTTGATTGGTCGAAAGAATATTCACTTCCTGTGTGACAGCGGTATTAAAGGACAAACACAAAACGAGTCAAGTTTAGATGGTGAGAGTCATTTTAAGGCTGTTTTTGTATATTGCGACTACTATCAGCACGTAGCTCCGCCCATGGACGACCTCGGAGATGCAGACCTTCCTAGGAGTCATTGATCTTAGTTTACTGGGTCAAGTTCTTCTTCTTCGTTGAATTTGTTGGCTGTCTACACTTTGTCGCACTGCTGTGATTTAGTAATGTATAAGGGTATGGTGTGGAAACGCAAGCAAGATCAGAGTTTACTGTACCAAACTGAGCTGAACAAACCGGCCCGCTTGGTGGAAACGATGCTTTAAAGGCTTTATATGTGATTTTTCAAACATAAATGTAATAGAAATCAAGTCTATCCTCTGAAAATAACTCTGTGAGTCATGACTGTCTACAATGGGTGTAACACCCGAGTCCCACTGTCTGTGATGTTTTCAGAGTTTTCAGAGTCCTATCTTCACTTTGTTTACATCGCTCGCCCGGCCGGCTGACTCCTCCCCTCACGTATAAAAGTTGTTTAATTGAGGGACTAGAGAAAAGAAGAATAACATACTGTACTCACTGCTTAACTGTGTTTCTAGATCACGCTCATTTCAGGTAAATTTACATGCAGTGTGAAGATACCAGCATAATAAAGATCGCTAGCATTAGCATGCTAACACAACAATGCAGCGCAAGTTGTTTTGGTTTCATGCTCAAGGGCGACATCTGCTGGATCAAAAAAACACATATGAGACCACGACTACGGGGCATTTTTCACACAATGCTGATTAAACCTCAGTAGGAGTGAAATCTGTCTCTATTTCAGAGATTATAAATCAAGGTCTTTGTGGTTTCACCTTCCCACTCAGGGAAATAAGTATTCAGACCGTTGATGTCAATCAGCACTGATTGTGTAGCCAGAGGGGAAAAGGGAAAGGGGAAGTAGTGACAAATAATACTAGAGCATTCAGACTATAGTGGAAAGACCCAAGAAGAGTTTCTGATGCTTTAGATAAAAATAAACTTTGTGAAAATAACAATGAATTAAACATGGAAAACCACAAGTTAAGCTTCTTCTTGTTTGACGAGAAGAGGTGTGAAATCATAACTGTGTTTTGATATCGTTTATGAAATAACTTCCGAGAGTTAAAAGTTCAGCCCTGCAGGATGCATATCATGTTTTATCGGATCCATCTAGCAGCTTATTGAATCATCTCTGTTTTTGAAGGAGATTTAATGACCAAACTACCTGAAATGACTTTTCTTAGGATCCATCTGTTTGTGGGCAAAACTTCCAAACAGAACAGACATCTGTTCCTCATCTGCATGAAACATCTCATTAACACATTGAATATGGAGCATATCATGTACAGAGTCTATAATCCTTGTTGCAGCGGATTTGGGCTCGAACTTCGACTCGGCCCTTTGTTGCATTTCACCCCCAACTCCCTCCTGCCAACATTTCCTGTCCAATAAAGGACACACAAAAACACTACTGGCAGATTATGTGGAGTAATTGGTTCAACTCTTAGTGTGATATAATCTTGGGTAACATAAATACAATCTGTGTGATAAAGACGAAGCCTCACATGTATAGGTATCATATATTAATCCCACCATCTGAAATTACTTTTACACTCTGCTATTGAGACATACACACACAAATAGGATCCTATGAACATGCACTAATGGAGAGATGTCAGAATGAGGGGCTTCACATGAAAGAGCACCAGAGCTCTTCTTGCTTAAAAGGCACTGCAGCAGTGTTCAGGAAGTGAACTGGCACCACTCCATCTAGCAGATAAATTTCCAGACTTGGTCCACACCAAGAAATGAACCAAGACGCAACCTACAGTCTTAAAAAATAGAAAATGAAGCCAACGCGGAAGTGCAAAAAATGGGGCAGCAGTAGCTCAGTCCGCCCGTTCAAGTCCTGGTGCGGACCAAGTATGGAAGTTGGTCTGGTAGCTGGAGAGGTGCCAGATCACCTCCTGAGCACTGCCGAGGTGCCCTTGAGCAAAGCACCACACCCCCTCCCCACCACCAGCTCTGGAGCACCCACTGTAGGCCGCTCCGTCACTCTGACATCTCTCCCTTAGTGCATGTCCATAGGATCGTGTGTGTTGCATGACTAGAGTGTAAAAACAGAAATTTCCCCTTGCAGGGATCAATAAATCAATAAAAGTAAATCTTAATCTTACATCCTGCCGTTCTGAGCCCCCTGCAGGAACAGATGGCTGATGTCACTCATGCTTCATCCATTAATATTTACAGTCTATGACTTGTGTTCACAACCCAAGTGCCTGCAGACTGATCTACTGCCTCCCCCAAGGTGTGTGTGTGTGTGTGTATTTGTATTCAGAGGAGACTCTACAGTCAGCTTTAAGCACATGTTTATATTCTCTCACACACACCATCCAATCATAAGAGCTCACTGCCTTAATGTTACAGCTGGAAAGAGGCTAAGACATGCCAAACAAAACGAAGTACAGGATGTTGACAGAAAGAGAAATACACAGAGCCAGCCGTGATACAGAAAACAATGTAGAGTGAAAGGTTGTGTGTAGGAGCAGATCTGTCAGTATCAGATGTTTTTAATAGCAGCATGTGTGGGGAAAAAAACACAAGAGAAACTCCTCTGACAACTCATTTGATTTTTGTTCTGGAAACATGAAAACAAACTCCCCCGTTAGTGAAATAGAAATGTGTCTAGCGAACCGCCCCCTCTGCAGTGACAATAAGCGTGCGTGGAAAGTGTTAAAAGTGATGCATGGACACCGTTAGTAGCAGCTGAACATAGCATGTGACAAAATATATTCTTTAAACAAATAAATTACTAGAACATTCAAACAACACAAACGTTGAAACATTTTTCAGTAACAAATTCAGAGTTCAACAGCAAACGGCCCTCTCAGATCAAACCAGAGTTCCTGTAAGACACTGCCACCAAATGTCTGCTCAAAGTATTAACCCCGTCCGCTTCCAGAAGGCGGCAAACAAAAAGCGCTTACATTCATCTCAACCGACATGCATGGTGGTCTGTTTCAACCACACGGTCTGACACTTTTATAAAACCAAGGTCATTTCCTTTTTTCCAAACGTGAAACGAAGAACTCTGAAAAAAGGTGAGTACAGAAAACGTTCAAACATTAGAGTTTTGAGATGGCCGTCAGCAAGGAGCCGGTCAGGACGACAAAGGACGCCAGCAAGAAGACGAAGCAGTTGGATAACCCCTGAGGGAAACAAACATCAGCGTTAATCAAAGTCTCTCTCCAAGAATTTAAATCAAACTTTTTCTTTTACAAATTTGCAGCAGTGCCGTCTCCAGCTAAGACATCAAGAGGCGTATTTTGAAACTTCAACTGTACACTTTAAAAAAAAGAAAAAAAAAAGGAATATGTAATGCATGAGAGCTGGATAGTGATTCTTACCTTTATCTCTTTAAACACCAAACATCCCCACAGTGCTGCAACCAGACCGTATCCCTGCAGAGACGGAACAAAAACAGTTTGAGCACAATCAACCATATATCATCATTTACTTTGTCTGTTTCCACTTTGTCTGTTTCCACATCACCCACATTATGTTACCAATAAGCACAATCTACCTGCACCAAATGAATCACTGAGAGAATGAAACTGAAGCAGGGCTGCCTTAATGCTCAGAAATCCTTCTCCTGTCTTGATTAGTTCTTGTCTTCTGTAGAGGCTAAGCTGACACTTTAAGCCATGGAGGAGCTGCACCTGGATTGTCTAAACGTTAAGCGCTACCTCGTCGGATGCTAAAAAGAAAGTCCACATCAAATGGCCTCGTTGAAGATGACATTTGTTTATTTACATTCATAGGCACCACATGACTATATAGACCAAAAAAACAACCGCTTGTTTCTCTTGGTTACTTTGATTATCTGCTCCTACAAATTCCTTAATTTTTTGAAAAAACAAGATCAGAAGAACAGATGGATAGATTTTTCTTTAAAAACTTGGGAGGAAAATGAATCTTGCCTTTGAGATTAAAAAAAACATTTGCAAAGTCTGTCACATATTAAAGCACATTTTAGTCTTCATAGAATCTTTTAAATTATTTCTGCAACTTGAAGGCAAGAGAAAAAAAAAAAAAAGAGGATAGAGACGGAAAGCTCATATTCATTTCATATGGTATGTATAGTTTTATTATGCTTAAACTTACTTTGTGATATTTAAATGTCTAGGAGCTAGATGTTTGTGGGGATGAAAGCGGCATTGTGTGTTTACATGTTGCATTAACAGAATGAATGTACTTATTGTTTGCCAAAGAATAGCTACAGTGTAAGACTTTGTTTAGTGTCGTTCAGTCAAAAGCCAATGATCTCCATGTGCAGGTTTAATACCACAACAAAGAAGGGCGGCTTTATTTAGAGAGCGAGGAGAAATGAAGAATGAGGTCCTTCAGAGGTAACAAAGGGGCTACACGTATATACATTACGACTGTATGTTGCTCCCTGTGTTGTTTGTCCCCGCCCACTTTCCGCTGTCTTCGGCTTTTCTCTACTATTGATGACTCGATGGGGTGCAGCTGGCCTCGGTGCTGAGAGGCTTTTAGAGGTGGAACTGCGGTGTGGTGCCTCTCAGTCAGGGATTGTTGGTTTAGTCCTTTATTGTCTTTTGTTTTGTGTCTTATGAAAAGCCCTATGTTTGACTTTGTTGAGGTGTATGATGTGCTTCATTGGGTCGACGTGTGGGTTGTCATCAGCCACATAGGGCCGCCTAATGGTGAGGTGTAACAATATGTTCTTCAGGAAAGTAACTTGCATTTGTTTTAACTAGGCGAGCATG